CGAGGGGCAGACTAGAGTGAGGGAAACCAGTAAGGAGGCTATTGCAGTAGTCTCCCAAGGACCAATCAGTTCTCAAATCGGGCTGATTATTAAAATTGCCAAGGAAATCTTTTAACATACAGGTTTTGGAGCTCTGCCACGAGTTTCTGACTCAGTAAGTCTGAGTCATCAGGTGATTGTGATAATGAGCCAGGGATAGAAGGTTCTTGCCTGGGTGAGAGGCAAGGAGGAGGCACCAGTGAGGGTGGGAGAATTAAGAGATACTTAAGCAGTAGAATTAACAGGTTTTAGTGACTGATGGACATGAACCTGGAGCGCTTGTGTGGATGGATGGGCCATTCATGAAGCCCCAGAATACAGTGGACCATTAGACCTTCAAGGGCAAGAGAAGATGAGGACATGCAGGTGCGAGCGAAAGCCAGGCAGCTGGGGATGTAGGTATGGTTTGCCAGGGAGAGCTCTGGATTGAGGACCTAAGAATGGGCCTAGGAAATAGCAATGTTTAAGAAGGAAAAGTCCTCAAAGGAGAATGAAGAGAGGCTCCAGAAACAGGAAGAAGACAAGAACATTCAATACTCATTCAAGTGTTTAATGGGGAAAGTTTGGTTTGGGGATGGAGTGCAAAGGGCCTCAATTCCAAGTAAAGGAGTCTTAACGGTATAATGTCAGCAAAAGGGTGGGAGGCAAAACAACAACAGCTGCAAAACGTCTGCTCACTCAGGGCAGGAGCATGATATGATGAGGCTTGTAAAGGAGATGGGAAGCGGGTGAGCCTAGAAGTGGGAGAACAGATTGAAATTGTGTGGCTGTGATAAGGGCCCAATCTAAAGCAGTGGTAGTGGGTGGACAAAGGACACCCATTCCAAGAGAGATGTCTAAGACAGAATATGAGTCCTGGTGGGAATGGTAGAGGAGGCGGAATTAAGGATAAACTAAAGATTCTAGCTTGGCACGCCAGGGGCTGGCAAACTAAGGTTGGAGAGGGCAGAAGAGAGACATTGTTTTGAGATGTTTTGGGGTGTGAGCAATTTCAGGTACCAGCATGGCTTTTTACAGGTAGTGAGAAATACGGCTCTACTGCTCTTCTGATACAATGGGGCTAGAGTTAGATTTAGAAGGAATCAGCAGAATGGTAACTGAAGCAAAAGACAGTCTCCCAGGCTGTCTTTTGTGAGAATAAATGAGGACCATGGTGACTGTCAGCAGAGTCAGAATGTAGTCCCCAGAGTCGGGTATGACACTGCAGATACTGCCTGACCTACACCAAGTACAGCGAGACAGAGACTCTCTATTCTAGATACTACTGCTGTACTCCGTGAATGATTTTGTGGGGTTTTTGGCAATCACATCACACTGACATCTCATACTGTGCTAGCAATTAACTAAAACCCATGGATGATTCCCAATTTAACTATTATTAATTTTGGTCTCCTCATGGAGGAGGTGTAAATCATTTTATGGAAATCATTTTATGAACCTAAGTAAAGGACTTTCTGATTATATTGATCGTATCAGATATGATGCATTTGATGCAAGAAACAGAATACTTCACTAAAAGTAGTTTATACTATGAGGACACTTATTCCCCTCAGGTAACTGGTAGTCCAGGGGTATGTGTGATCAGGGTTGGATCAGCAGATCAGCAGTGATAAGGAACCAAGGCTTTTTCCTCCTTTAGCTGCCAACCTCAGTGAGTCAGTGATACATTCATCAAGGGCAAAAGACAGTGGCAGCAGCTCCAAGCACTGTACCTGTACATGAAAACATAGGAAAGCAGGTTTGGAGGAGTGGGCATCTTGACCCAGAGGCCTGCTATCTTTCTCTCTTATTTTAATTAAAAATTTAAAAAATAATTTACATACAGTAAAATGCATAAAACGTGTACAGCTGAATGAGTTCTGATACGCATACACTGGTATACACCTACGGAACGTTTTCATCAGGCCAGAAAGCCCCCTTGGACACTTTCCTGGTCAGTCATCACCACTGCCGCCACCCCCTACTCCACCCAGAGGCAACTACAGCTCTGATCTCTTACACCATTCACTCTGTTTTGTAATCAGGGATGAAAATCGTTTCCAGAGGCCTTCTGCTCCCAGCACACTTTCCCTTACATCTCTCCTTGGCCGGAACTGTGTCACAGCCAACCTTTAAGTCAATCACTGGCTGAAGAGGACGGTACAAGAGACCATTTATAATTCATCCATCCTTTGGGGCTGAGGGAGGGGCCCATGTGACCTCAGCACATTGATGTAAGCCAAATAAAACTTTTTCTTAAGCAAGGAAGGAGAGGGAAATGGCTGCCCCCCCACCCCCATTTTCTTGGTCTACATATCCAGCCATTCAACATCTGGCCTATTCTTCTAGCTTTATTTCACTTGCAAATGTACTAAATATGTGCTCATTCAAGTCAATGATTAAAACACTGAAAAATGACACAAACGCAGAGACCTCCCTTGAAGTTAACATCAATCCACACTCTAACAGTCTGGTCAAAGTTCTTCATCCAGGTCCAAATACAGCCAAACATATATTTGTCTAGGCCCCAAATCTCCTCTTAGCCCACAAGGATATCATGAGAAACTTCATTCAACACTTTATGACTCTGTTTCCCACACTGGGGTACACAGAGGCGTCAGTGGATATATTTAGTACTTTTTCCTCATAAAAGCCTTTTTCTATATCTCGGAAGTTTTCATGAGCCTAAGCTATTCTCAGCTATTTTATGTCTCTGTCACTTGTGTGTATTTATCACTTGTTTTGTGCCTGTTTCCTTTTTTTGTATACATCCTTCTAAAAGCTAAGCTCATGAGAATGACCAGAAGGAGACTTTGGGTTTTTTAGTTGCCCTTCCATTTTTCCTACTTTTCAGTAGGTTAACGATTTCATTGTGAGTCTCTCAATTCCTTTTTAATCCAGCTTCCTTTTGGTTTATATCTAATGTTTCTATGACTTTAGGAATAAAAAAAGAATCTGCTCTGTAAACAAGGTCCAGGCTTACAAATCTAACTGTGACTAGCATGTTCTTCATTATTATGGCCTCTAAAATGGCACTGACACATCCCATTAAAATGATTTCCATAACTTCCATTTCATCCCTATTAGTTGTAACTAAGTCCAGAAAAATCACATTCCTTTGTCACATTATCTACCATCTCAGAGATGAGACCATCAGCAAGATCAACTTGAAAAATGCACCAAATATTAGCACAATGATGCTTCCAGAGTACAGACGTAGTTTCCAAACATGACATCTGTCTGCCTCTAGGCCAGAAAGGAAGCTTGTGTTAGGAGAGCAGCAGTCATCTTCATCCACCTAAGATACCGGTATTTGGCTCCCAACAGTCCTATCAGTTTGTGTGTCTTCTCTCTTCCTCTCATGCTACATTCTCCACCAGGCTTAGGCCTCGCGGCTCAAGCATTTCCCAGGAGGGCTCTCTTCCACACAGCTCAACAGGTGCTATTTCACTAGCACAGCATATAACCTCCCACTGCATATTCCAGCGATTACCTCTATCTCAGCAGGTTTGTCTGGCCGACAAGATCATGTTCATCTATTTTCATTATATTTTAGGTTTACCTTATTATCAGCCCCAGTTAAAAGGCATGAGTGTTAAAAAGCGCTTATCACAGTATAGCTGAAACAAAGCCAACCATTTTATAATGTTTCAAAAAGAGACCCTTTTGCAAAGTACCACAGGAATCAGAGGAACAAACTTAAGGTAGATTTTTTTTTATTTAAAAAATAATTTATCAATTTTTTTGGTAGCAAAACTAATATAAGTGTTTTTTTTTTTTTTTTAATTTTCTCTTGTGAATCACTGACATACTTTTTCAGCTACCATGATATCTCCATCTTAGGTTACACTTGATATTCTCCAAAGTATCTCACCTTATCATTTTATCTGAGCATTGTTCTTCCCTTCCCTCAAATTTCATTTTAAAGTTCTCTTTACCAGGTTGGCAAGATTCCCGCTAAAAGCATTCCTCTCAGATGTACTCTCCCTTATAGGGAGTCTGTTGTATTAACAGCATAAGCCCTAGTTAAGAAAACCTAGTTTGGGTCATCTTCTGCTGTTTTGGTAGGGTGCTACTTGATATCCATTACTCTTTTATTTCTTCTTCAAAGTCATGGCCTCCACTGGAAGAAGAGACGAAAACACCCCTTCAATGCCCAAACCAAGTGCCTCTGGTTGTATCATTCATTGCCATGTGAACCAATAAGAGTACAATGCGGTCTGTAAATTTGATAAGTCTCAGAAAGCCTCCTGAGGGTTTCAGATCCATTATGATTTACCTCAATATAAACGAGAAAGAAATAAGATACTTTCCCTCTTTTCCCACGTCTAGAGGATTTGGATGTTTATCCTCTGACTCTCAATTGTAAGTCTTTAGAGACCTATATGCATTCACCTAATGTGTAAAGGATAGATGATAAAATACCAGCCAATGTATACAAAGATGTAGTTAGTATTGTCAAGGACTCTTTTATAGGTTTCTCAAATACTCTCCTTTACTGATGATAGTTACCAAGGACTACATATATGGGACTTAAAATCTGATGTTGAATTTGAAAGTGTGCCAGACACAAGAGAGACAGAAAGACACAGTAATATTATCTTCAGGAATTTGCAACCTAGTCAGGAGGCTGGCACTCATGAACACAGCCATCAGCACGTATTCCTGCTGTAACCAAGCTTCCATAAAAAGGTGGCGCACCGAATCCACCACAGCACTGGGCTCACGCAAGTGCTTTACAGAGAATTTTTATAGCAGCAAAGAAACATCAATCACAATTGTTCTCCAATCTTCAAAGAAAATATATCAGTTTAACACACACTTGATACAGAGAACAGACTTCATAAAAGAACTTAATAAATATAGGAATAATAATCTGAAGTTATATCCATATGGAATTTTTACGACAAAGAATGATTTAAATAAAATATCTCCCATTCAAAATACAGCAATACTGAAAACTAAGTACCAAAGTCACTTACTTTTACTATGATAAGCCTGGCCAGGCTTTCACACCTCTGGTTATCATTTTCTGTATATTCTACTTCAAACAGGGTATTATAATTTTCCAGTATTTTAGCCATTATCTTGTTGCAGAGGTCTTGTTCTTTCACGCCTTCAAGCCCAGGTGGCACACTAGAAACAAAGGGAAAAAATTGAGAGGAATTACTTCTTAAAAAAAAAAAGGCCAGCAAAGCCAACTCAGGCTTCTATTTTGACGTCTCCTGAATGATTGATTAGCCTTCTTACAAGGACACACGGGACTTTCAACAAGCTCTGTGGTGACACGTACGACGTTGCTGGGACAATTGGCAAGTTCCCAAGATCTGAATCAATAGCTGGTGCTGAATAAGAAAAGTACATGTTGTTCAGGAAGAAAGTACAGGTTAGCACGGGTGCAGTAATGCTCTGTGTACATTAGAGCTCACTACAAGTACAGTAACATTTATCTAAAAGTAAAGGTGAAAAAAGAACAAGTGTTATGACAAAAAGAATGACTGTCTTATCATGACAGAAATACTCAGCCACGCAAATAGCAGCAACACAATCTTTCTTTAAGGATTTCTTAGACAATGCGCAAAAAATATAAAACTTAAAGGAAAAGACGAATACTTCTGGGAAAAAATACTGACAATTGTTGAAGCTGAGTGATAGCTACATGGAAGAGTTAGGATACCATTCTCTCTTCTTTTGAGGATGTTTAAAAATTTCCATAATTAAAAAAAGGTGAAAAAAATCTTCTGAATGCAGACAACACCATAAATAAGGCAGAAAGACAAGCTACAGATTAGAAGATAAATATCTCTTTAGTAACATGGAAACTGACATAGGATTATTAATTAGACTATGTAAAGAATTCCTACTAATCAATAAGAAAGTGAATTTAAAAAAAGGAGACAAAGGACATGAGTTGAAAAACTCATAGAAGAAAAACTTGGACAGTCAATAATCTTATGAGAAGATACTTAACATCATCGAGTAACCAGTGAAACGCATTAAAAAAGCAACACTGAGATATTAATAAATACCCACCTGTACTAGTTTCCTGTGGCTGCTGTAAAAAATTATCACAAACCAGGTGGCCTAAAACAACAGACATTACCTTCTCAGCTTTGGAGGCCGGAAGAGCAAAGTCAGTATCACCAGGCAGAAATGAGGGTGTGAGCAGGGCCACACTCCCTACAGAGGCTCTAGGGGAGAATGTGCTCCTAGCTGCCAGCGGCCAGCAGCATTCCTTGGCTGTGGCTGCACTGCCTCAATCTTCAACCAAGGCCTTCAAAATTCAAGCATCTTCAAATTTCTCTCTGCTTCGTCTTCACATGGGCTTCTCCTCTGTGTATGTGTCTAATCTCCCTCTGCCTCATTCTTAGAAGAATACAGGTGAGTGCATTTAGTGCTCACCCAAATAATCCAAGACAATCCCCTTATCTCAAGATCTCTATCTTAATTACAACTTCAAAGCCCCTTTTTTTTCCATCAAATAAGGTAACATTTACAGTTTCCAAGGATTATAACCTGATATCTCTCGGGGATATTATTCAGCCTACTTTACCATCTTTGGGGTACATGCCCTAAGGTGTCTCCCAATGAAGCACTCTTGTACGCTCCTCTATGTAGGCAGAATCTGTAACTTCTGATCAATAGAATATGGCACAGGTGATAGATGTCACTCTCACGATTATCTTATGTTATATGAGACTCAGTCTTAGCAGACTGGCATGAGGATTCTGCTGCTAGTCTTGAAGAAATAAGCTGCCATGTTCAGAGAGGGCCTGTGAGAAAGCCACATGGCAGGGGAGCAATGTAGATGTAAGGCCTCTAGCTCATAGCCGCTAAGAACCCAAGGTCCTTAGTCATGCAGCTGCAAGGAAATGGGTTCTACCAACAACCTGAATGAGCTTGAAGGCAGATTCTTCCCCAGACTCAAGCCTCCATATGAAAATGAAGCCCGGCTGACACCTTGATTTCAGCCTTGTGAGACCAAGAGCAGAGAACTCAGCTAAGCTGTGCCTGGACGCCTGACCCATGGAAACTATGAGGCAGCAAATGTTTGCTGTTCTAAGCCACTAAATTTGTAGTTATTTGTTACACAACAGTTGAAAACTAATACAGAATTTGGTACCTGGAAGTGGGGTGCTGGGCTGTAACTAGAATCTAAAATGTGAGAGTGGCTTTGGAACTGAATGGTGAGAGGAGAATGGAAGAATTTGGGTAGCATGACAGAGAAAGCCTAAAATGCCTTGAACAGATTATTAGTAGAAATGTAGAAATCTGGACTTTAAAGACGCTGCTGGTGAGAGCTCAGAAGGAAATGAGGAACATGTTATTAGAAGCTGGAGGAAGGGAGATCCTTGTTCTGTTGGCAAGAAGCTTAGTGAAATTGTATCCTGCAGTTTTGTGGGAAGCAGCACTTGTAAGCAAGAAGCTTGGATATACAGTCCAAGAGATTTCCAAGCAATGTTTTGAAAGCACCAACTGGTTTCTTCTTGCCAATTAGAGTAAAATCCGAGAGAGAAATTGAGATAAGAACTGTTAAGTAAAAAGGAAACAGGGCTTGATTTAAAAAATTCTGACTGTACAGATGGCGAAAGACACTAAAATTAAGAGATTCGCTGTTAGGAAAGCAGGCTGGATAGAGAATGTCGAGAGTGTGACTATACACCCTTTTCCTAAAACCTAAGATCAAAAGCTCAGACGACTGAATCACAGGTCCCTTTCAGATAATTAAGGGTGGTCTCAAAGATCCCTTGAATCAAGCCAGAATGCCTGTAGGAATTTAAAAGCATTGACCCTCAGCCATCTTAACATGAGCCTGAGATAGAGAAGGGATTATTTTGAAAAGATGTGTGGATGCGCCTTTTTTCTAATGGAGTGAATCCCAGGGAAACCACAAAAGACTTTTAAGCTTTTGAGATATTTATCTCAGCAGAAACCCTGCCAACTTAGCATGAAATGGAAAGAAAGAGCACAAAATGAAAGGAGGCTGTTGGATCCCCAAAATTCTATTGGCTGGGCTGATAAAACTACTCAGCTACAAACATGTGCTGCCTTTCATCAAAAAGGAAGGATGACTCCAGGGGAAGAACCAAGAATCAAGAGGGTGAAGTTGAAAGCCATGGAGAAGTATTCCCTAGTCAAGAGATTCCCAACATTTGCCTGGCAGGATATAACTGCCATTGACCAGTGACTTCTTTTATCTTTAATTTTCCTCCTGTTTGAACCAGAACATCTAAAGCTGTTATCCTCTGTTTGTTCCATCATTAGATGTTAGGTGTGTTGGGGTAGGTAACTTATCTCTTTAGTTTCCTCTTAAGGACCAGCCTCTCTCAACCAGAGTCACAGCCAGTTTTCAGATACATTTGTTGCACATTATCTGTTACAACAAAGCAGAAACGTTTGCACCTTTGTGCTTATTTAGAAATTAAATTAGATTTGAGGTATTCTATATAACAAATTTACTCTCAATCGTTTACATTACAATGTGTTTCTTTAGTCAGATGAAAGGGTTAAGTGATGTGACTCATGCTTTCCTTAAGGCCTTTGTCATCAATGCAGCAGCAATCTACTGGAAACAGCTGTGACAATTATAACTTTCTGTGATATAGTTATTTCCATTCATAAAAGCTTATCAATTTTAAATTCACTGATTTTTAAATAACCAACAAGCCAAAAACAAATGAAAAAAAGAAAGGAGAGGATCCTGGGAAGATAGTGGGGCAAGAAGCACCAGGACTCAGTCTCCCTTCCTAAACAACAACCGCACTGGAAGAATCTGTCTGATGTAGCCATTTTGGAACTCTCGAATCTACTGAAGGCTTGTAACTTCCAGGGAAAGGCTTGAATGATAAATTGCAGTTAATTGTGGTCAACTTCAGCTCTTAGGACAGTGGCAGCCACTCATTCCCCACTCCCAGCCCCTGTTCCTGGCATAGCTTGCACAAAGTTTGTGGGAGCCAGGATAGGCAAAAAGGACCCTGTCCTCCAAATCTTGGGGATCTGTGCTCTGAATGCCAATTGTGGCTTCTGAGGTGCAAAGAGCCATTGTTGTTGCACCTCCCTCCCTTGCTGCAAGCACCTCTCTCGGCTGAACTGACTTGTAGGAGACTTAAGGGGCTGGCACCCTTTTATTCCCCTCTTTGATTTTTTGCTTTTTCCACTTTCAAGAGCCAGACATTAAGCACTAGAACATTCAAAAACAACTGTATATATGGGGAAAACTAGAAAGTGACTGCGCATGCCCAGGTAAAGCCTCAAAAAAAAAAAATACTTGAGAAGGCCGTAGGTTTACACTTCAGGCTGATCTTGGCACAAAGACAGTCTACATCGATCAAAAAGTCAAAAATAATCAACAGAAACAATAAAAATAGCAAACCCTGGGGAAGGAGGAAAATCCGATTTCCAGAGTTACCACTTAGATTCAAACGTCTACTGTTCAACAAAAAATCACGTAGCATACAAAGAAACAGGGAAGTATGGCACATTCCAGGAAAAAATAAATCAATAGAAACTGTCCATGAAAAAGACCTGATGGCAGATCTACTAGATACTTTAAAACAATTGTCTTAAACATGCTCAAAACCTAAAGATTTTGAAAAACATCAAGAAAATAATGTGCAAACAAGATGGAAATTCAATAAAGAAAAAGAAAACCCCAAAAGAAGGCAAAAGAAATTTTGGAGCTGAAACTAAAATAACTGCAATGAAAAATTCACTGGAAGGATTCAAAGGCAGATTTGAACAGACAGAAGAAAGAACCAGTGAACATAAAGATAGGACAATGGAAATTCTCAATTCTGAGGAACAGCAAGAAAAAGATCAAAGAAAAGCAAACAGAGTCTAGTGGACTGTGGGACACCAGCAAGTGGACCAACATATACATTGTGGGAGTCCGAGAAGATAGAAGGGGGCAGAGAGAAAATCTGAAGAAATAATGGCTGAAAATTTCATGATGAAAGACATGAATACAAATTCCCAAGAAGCTCAAAAGACTCCCAAGAGACTCACACTGAGAAACATTATAATCAAACTTTCAAAAGAGAAAGACAGGGAGAATCTTGAAAACAAGATAGAAGATAATCAGCACATACAAGGGATCCTCAGATTATCAACAGATTTCTCATCAGAAACTTTGGAGG